CTCCCTAGTTACTGTTGCTATGTCACCTCCCTAGTTACTGTTGCTATGTCACCTCCCTAGTTACTGTTGCTATGTCACCTCCCTAGTTACTGTTGCTATGTCACCTCCCTAGTTACTGTTGCTATGTCACCTCCCTAGTTACTGTTGCTATGTCACCTCCCTAGTTACTGTTGCTATGTCACCTCCCTAGTTACTGTTGCTATGTCACCTCCCTAGTTACTGTTGCTATGTCGGACAAGCAAAAATATTCCTTTTATATAGAGCATGGGAAAGATGCTGATTGCTGCGATATATAGGAACTTGCCTTTGTTATATGTTTTTTACATTTTCATCAGGAAAACCTAATGAATTTAGTCAAAATATTCGATTTTGTGTTTGTTGCTCGGACAGTTTCAATTCCACTGGGAAAACTGCTCATTTGGTGATTARTCTATGGGAAGAAGGGATTGGTGAATTAATCCAAGATTAGCACTGCAAGTACAGTGCATTTTGGTTCTATTTTGACCTATCTGATCTTGTTTTGTGTATTCTAGGACTTTGTGGGCTGAAACTAGAGAGGCATACTTTGGTGAGGGTGTGAACAAGAAGTCATTAGATATCATTGAAAAGGTATATAGGATGTTACATGGGCGTGTGGAGATATGGATTTTATCTTTGAGTGTTGAAAAGATSTCTCATGAGTGAGYGCAGCGAAATATAAAKATTTAATTTTATAGATAATTATATGATAGATTTTATACTTTAGAAAGACACGGTAAGCCRTGTCTCTGCCCTCTGACACGGTCGTCAGCCAATCAGAACGCGCGTTAAATATCAAAMATTTTCTAATTCATGATAGTAAATGAGACCTTTCCTTTAAATTAAGACCTTTGTTTCAATTGTATTACTATATTCATCAGCTTTTTATTCATTACTGTTATTTTATTTTGAAGGCTGCTTTTTTCCTAATCCTTGATGACAAAGAAATGGATTATTCYGAGGTACAAGTTCATAATAAAATCTGAGTGTCAGTGCCTCTATACTTCTTTATATCCAACTGTTTTGTGAATTATTTTGTATCAATGTTTGCTCTTGATTGACAAGTTACATCATGTGAAATAAATAGACAGTTCTGTTTGGTAAAATAACTAATAAAGTATTTAAATATATTTTTTACAGTGCAACTCAGATGACCTTGACAAGTTTGGTCGACAYGCCATCCATGGCARTGGCCATAACATTTGGTTTGACAAGTCTTTCAATATTATTGTTTATTCCAATGGAAGAGTAAGCAAATTCTAAATTATTATTATTAATGAAAGTTAAGTGAAATATAAGACATAAATGCCTTGTGTTTTTGGACTTGTAAAACAAAGTTCCAGACTTTACAGAGCTGCTGCTGACACTATCCCTCAATACTGAAAGTATTTTGAGCATTCATGGCGAATTCAAGACTTATGTTTACTGTCCTGTTTTCATTTGTTTTTGGAAGAGTTAGTTTAGAAAAAAGCTAGCCCATTGGGTTTAAGTTTTTGGATAATGTGTGAAAATTGTCTGGCATTTAGCTTGCAGATTTGACACATTTGGAGTAAGATTRAATTGAAATTTTGAGTTTGTATTAGAAAAGCTTATCAATGATTTTATTTTTTTGCAGATTGGTTTCAACTGTGAACATTCATGGTAAGTATTTTGACTTTTGTATCTTTTTCCTGAAGTCATTGTTAAGTTTGATTGGAGATGAGAATTACAAAATGAGTGTGYGACTTGAAAAACAGTGGCTCTTAAATTTGAACAAGAATGCATAAGATTTCAAGTGCTGCATCAACATTTCCAGAGCACCAAGTGAACCAGCTTATTATATTGTACTCATGACTACTTCAGGGAATATACTCATTAGCTTGTCTTGGTAGGGCGTGGATGGTGTCCAAATGAATGCATAAAATGAATAAATAAACAAATGAATAAAGGAATGAAAATTGAACATTTATTTTGAATACAGGGCTGATGCACCYATCTGTTCTCATATGGCTGAGATTATCGTCACTGATGATGCYAACTATCTTGGGTAAGAATCCTTAAAAGTAATCTCTTTCTAAATTAGTTAAACTGAAAGGGTTTTTTAATAGTCAAAACAAACTACATATAGTTCTGATGGCTAAATTGCTCTGGTGTGTGTAAAAAAACTTGTAACGTAATGGTTTCCAGTCAGTTTGTTCCCAAGTGAATCTACCAGTCAGTTTGCTATGCAAAAAGTTAATCCCTTACGAATGTGCAGTTGATTTGGTACATGTACATGTTCATGTTACATTATATGATAAACATATAGTACATATTAAAGATCCTTTCAAAGTTCTTTGAAAGATTCAAATATAGAAAATATCAAGCATTCTTCTTTGATAATTATACACAATAAAATACACGGGCGAATTGATGTTAGTGAAGAAATCATCAGTACTGTATGCAGACATGCAAACCACCTGTCAATATATTGGATCAATAGCTTATGAATTATTAATTAMTAATTAATTAATAATTATCACAGATATAAGGAAGATGGACACTGTAAGGGTGAACCTCAGTACAAGAGCATGCCGTCCCCAATGAAGCTAGAATGGGATATCCCTACAAAGTGCATCAACACTATGGAGATTTGTGAAAGAAAAAATGTTGAAATGATCTCTGACTTAGAGCTACATATTGAAGTTTTTAACACATTTGGTAAGGTTATTAGACAATATGTTTTACACTGGCCTGCATATTTACAAGTTATAGCTGCAATACTCAATGTTTATTAACAAACTCATTCTTATGTTAATGTGCCAACCATGGCCAGAATGGCTTTTCACAAGGCGCTTTGTTCTAACAGCCAATCGTCTTCTGGTTGGCACATGAATAACTAAGACTTATGTCACATTGAGTATCGCTACACTTATCATACTTGCGTATTTTAAATCCTATAACTTGACCAGCTGTAAGGGATGATTTTAATACACTATTCAACAAATTGTTGTATACGACTTGATATATGGGACGGAATAATACAGCATCGATGTTTCTACAAAGTGCAAGCAGCCCACAACTTGTTTCAAGCTTTTAAACCCACGCTCAATAGCTTGTAACATGTTGTAGCCATAACGCATGCAACATTGTGTAAATGGGCTGTAGAAACCCTACAAAATTGCACCATATCATTGATTGTACTGGATTTTGTTTTAACAGGCAAGGGGGTCATAAAGAAGTGCAAAGTCAGGTAAATTATATTTAACTGTAAATGCTGTAAACATTTATTGTTGCTTAAAACCCAGTATGATATAGTTAGTAGGAAATCTTACCTTAGTTTCTTTTTACTTGTAGTCCTGATGCTTTCATTCAAATGGCCATGCAGTTGGCTTATTTTAAGGTAATGATGATTGATATCTGTTTCTTGAACCCTGTCTGTCCACGGCACTTGTATAACTCATTTTACTCTGTTCACAGGATCAAGGGAGATTTGATCTAACTTATGAATCATCAATGACWCGTCTCTTCAGGTAACCATACTTACTGGAACCTTTGTCTATTTATTAGTACATGTAATAACAGTGATCTTTAAGTTTGGCAGGAATAATCAACCAACCAACCAGCAACCACCAATCAATCTGTCAATCAATCATTCAATCGATCAGTCAATCATTCAATCAATCAATCAACCACCAATCAATCAATCAATCAATCAAACAATCTATCATGAATCTATCTTTATAAACAAAATAACCTTTGTAATAACCAAGCAATTTTAGCTGATTGATTTTCTGTTTCAATTAACTGTGACTATTGTTTTTCTAAAGGGATGGACGCACAGAGACCGTGAGGGCTTGTACCAATGAGTCTTGTATATTTGCTAGAGGAATGATGGACCCAGAAATGCCAGTAAGTCACRCCTTACTGAAGGACATTGTCATACAAATATGGAACATTGAATGCGAATGGATAAAAAGACGAAAGAAAATACATATTTATATTTTCATCACCGTTATGCATCTGGAAAAAGCGCATTTGACGTATTTAGAGTCAAAGACTATAGACTTTTTTTCTGAAATACAAAATCATGGTGCATTGTCGTCTAGCTTCAGTACAAACAACGCCATATTTGGTAGCATGAACAAAAGATGTTTGTACCAAACCCTGACCACATCCAACGCAAACTCCCATCTCAGAATAGGCCTATATCGACTAATAATATGTTTAATTAAGATTTCTTATTGTTCAATAGAAAGACAAAAAGAGAGAACTTTTCGTAAAAGCCACAGATCGTCATGTCTTTGGATTCAGACAAGCCATGGAGGGAAAAGGTAAAATATTGATATCCTCAKCCAGTGAWTACATAGAATTCTCATCTTCTTACTCTTCTTTATTCTCACTACAGGTATTGATCGGCATTTRTTTTGTCTGTATGTCGTATCCAAGTATCTTGAGACGGATTCTCCATTTTTGAATGAGGTAAGGGAACAATTCCAGTGCGCTACCGTTGTCTTGGTCAGTGGTGCAGAAAAGGGAACATAAGGCATGTGCCACACCCAATACCCCCACCCCCTCCTCCCTCCAAACATCGCTGATTTGGTTAAAGAAGTATATATGACTAAATGTGATCTTGTTGTTTTTCACAGGCGCTGAGTGGATCATGGAAGTTATCAACTAGCCAGGTAAATCTAAATGCAAAATGACAGATCAAATAAAATATATATTTGCAGCGATTATGCAATAGTCTTCTTCACGGTTCTCTGCGTCATCTTGAAAGGTAGCCGTGTCTTTTCGTTGAAGCGAGATGGCCGTTGAGCGTGTAATGATAGAAACCTTCTTTCACACCTAAAGACAATTATTCAGGGGTATCTATCATTGCACGCTCAACGTTTGTCCCACTTCGATGTAAAGGCACGGCTACCTTTCAAGATGCCGCAGGGAACCGTGAAGGAGACTATCGAAGGCTTGTTAGCCTACGTGTATTCGGTTTACGATTAGAATTTCAATTGCAATACAGGCTAATACTGTACTAATGCAAGTATAGTTGATCGATAGCAGCTTTTGATAAAATACGTTTTCTTACTGTAACACTTTCATGCACAACATTGCTGTTCGAAAATATAACAATTTTTGCATTGATTTTCTAAATTTCAGACTCCAACCAACCAAACAAAGCGACTGGACTTGAAAAAGAACCCGGAGCTGTTAACAGCCGGTGGTGGCTTCGGACCAGTACGTACAAACATTTAATACATTTCTTGCTTTGTTCTCACTAGTTGCCGCATAAATGTTCTGGATGAAACTTTTGCTGCTCAGTGACGTCAGACGTGGTTGACCAATAACGTTATCCTCGATAACGTTATGACGTCATTGATAATTCTATCGATTAACCAATCTCGTACCCAAAATCTGCACTTTTGCCGTCCTGAGAAGTTAGTGTTACTGACAAAGTGGCGTCGCTGCACAACGCCTATTCAACTCACTCGACCGCCTACAGACCACAAACAGCTTAGCCTAATATCTATATATAGTCTTCGTAGCGGCCCTAAAGGGATTGGGGAGGGCCGAGCGGAGAATGAGGAGGAGAAAAAGGAAGGGTCCCATTCTCCTCACGGACCTTCGCAATCCCTTTTGGGCCGCTACGCAGGCTATCTATATAGCGTTATAATTATTTTTGTTAGAATTGTTATTACTTGCGATCACTGTCATAATCTGTGTGTGTGTACATTTGCTAGGTTGTAGACGATGGCTATGGTATATCATATATCATAGGGGGCGAAAACACGCTATTCTTCCACATATCTTGTAAGGATTCTGCGTCGAACACTGTGAGTAGAATTCAATTTATCTTCTTAATTCTACGGTTCAACCATCAATATTTTATTAKCAAYCACAATATATTTTTGTTTATTAAAGGCGCGCGTACACSCGAGATTCTTTGCACGATTTTCTCAAGTACGAAAAATCGCCCRYCATCTTTGATTTTGAACTAATCATAAAGCACCTTTCTACAAGAGATTTTATGTAAAACAAATTAAACGACCAAAAATGTTCTTGRGTGCACGTGGACATTTGAATTCAATGYAAACCTTTTCYATTGCCTTTTTAGGATGCAAAAAGATTGGGGAGATTTATTGCCGAAAGTCTAGTAGAAATTCAASAACTTTTTGAATAAAACTATGAAATGAGGATGGAAGAGAAGTGAATGGTATCCCTGTAAATTAACAATTTAAATGCGACGAACTTCTCTTGATGTTCTCAAAAGMAATGGCTGAACAAGGAAAGTCTGAATAAGAAATCAAARTAAATAATTGTGCTGGAAAGAAGCAAGAATCCATTGCCTTGTCTTCTAAATTTAACCTCCTTTGCAGACATCTAACTACATAAGTTGTCTGCAACTGGGGGTATATTTTATTGACATGTGTTGAGGTTCATARTTAAAAATAGAAGTATACCAAATTGTAGGAATTGCAATACAGAAGAGCAGAATGCTTATGCATTAATCTATGTACTTTAGTGTTACATATACAGTATTGCTTGTGCTTTTGTTTCTTTTTTGTTTTGTTTTTTGTTTTTGTCCGAGTCATGAATACGTCTAACCAACAAGGTTTTGATTGTGCACATATTTATAGAATATTTTAAGTATGTTGTCTTGATGGTCTTAAAACTAAAACCGTAATTATAATTTCAAAACAAATAATAATAATTTATGATATTAAATTATTTTAAGAAATGTTATGGTTTGACAATAAACAGTGCTCTTTACAAATAATATAATTGTCTGTAATTATCTATAATTATCTATAATTATCTTTATAATTATTTGTAATTATATTTATCTCTTTGAATTTATGTAAATTGGTAGTTTTGAAGCAAACTGTCTTGAATTCTTGATATAAATACTTAGTTTTGTATAGTGTGATAAATTTATCTTTTAAAATAAAATAATTGACTTGTGTGGTGATTTAACTGTTTTGTTCAKCTTATGAGTTATTTGGGATCTTCAYYAGMTTCTCCACCTGTTKTGGGTTCTCCACCTGTTTTATTCAGCTTTTGAGTTATTTGGGTTCTCCAGTGGGTTGGTTCTCCACCTGTGTGAAACTGCAAATGTAACAGTGTTGTAAGAATCACTAGATCTAATCCTTTATTTACAACTCTGAAACTTCTTCAATGAGTTTCTTAGTCTCATTCGCAGGCTACTCCAACGGAAACGGTCTTTCTTCTCTTCTTGGTCTTCCTGTGTTCATAATCTTGACGAGAAGAACTGGTGTCGAGAGATAAGGTGGTCTGCCTTGACACAGGAATCCCATAGAGTAGAGTTGCCTGAGAAGGAGGTTACTACTATCTATGTAGCTCTAATGATATTTACGCTATAGAGATGCTCAATGTTTACTGATCAACAAAGTCATTCTTATGTCAATGTGCCAACCATGGTCAGAATGACTTTTCACAAGCCGCTTTGTTCCAACAGCCAATGGCCTTCTGGTTGGCGCATGAATAACAAAAGCTTACTTCACATTGAGCATCGCTATTACGAGAATTGTTTATTCAGCCGTCGAGTTCAGAAATTAAAAACAAACTAAAAACAAAATAGGTTTGGCGAACAGCTGTCTAATGAGCGCTTAATGGGGACGTTGAAGCTGTGCAGTTAAAATACTCAAAACTATATTACTCGAATTAGCTACACTAGGATTTCTTTGGATTGGCGTTGCTTGTGCGCATGTCCGGTTTTTCGGCATTGTCAGCCAAATATCGGCTTAGTCACCAGTCTCCATTATTTTTACCTCATTTGCTTACACACTTTACTTTGCGGCAACCAGATAAAGTTTGTTGTTAAAACTTCGTCCCTAGTACTCAGATTGCGCATGATATATTACGAGATTAGTCTCTGGTTTAACGCTTGAAATGTGCGCAAACTCTCGAAGGGAATTGGGGTGGAACAGCACTGCCAAATCCCCTTCAAAAGAGCCTGACACTCAAACTAGCGCAAACATTGTAAATGACAGCAACTGAACGTGTTTTACTTCAGTTATCTTGTTTGCTACTAATCCAAACAAAGATTGAAAGCTGATAAATTTTCTTTTTATGGGTGATTGACAGTTTTTGCCTTGGTTTWAATTGTATTTACATTGCACCTGCTTTCACGGAGAAAATCCGGCGCCTTCTGTCTTAATCCCATACTTATGCAATAACTATCTACTTTCATATTGATATTATGCGTTTTAAAAACACAGTCTTTAGATGTAAACAACTTTAATCCCTTGAAATTTGAAGGAAATTTTCACATTTTTAATAAAATGTGAAATATTTAGATAAGATGGGAATAATTTTAATTATGGCTGTATTGTTGTGCACYGGTTTATATAAAAACACTGTCTTCCAATCATCATAAACGAAATATAAACCACAGGTGTTGTGAGCAAAACCGTCGATTTTTCTCTTTTCCCGTTTAATTTTCCTAAGTGCATGGYAACAAAAATCAGGCCACGAAAAACTAGACGCTATAAACGTGAACGGCAAARATGTTGAGCGATAAGCTGAGGTTGATTTTTCGTATATCCCGTATTTGTCGGTGTTCACCTCGAGAAGAATCATGGTAAGTTTATCTGCATTGAGGAATTGCTGCTTTTGGAATGGTAAACTCAGAATAATACACTGAGACGGACGACATAAGAGCTCAGAAAACTCGGATGATTGGCATGCAGGGCTGTCAAAGGCGCTTTGCGTGCTCAATATTATTAAATAAAATAAGAACAAATGGAAATTTAGATCGGTTTGAAACTTCGTCCTAAGTCGCGATGCAAGTGTTTTTGCTGTAATCGTCTAAAAAAATATTTCGCGCAAAATTGAGACCTAGCCGAGTTCGCCATGGACCTTTTATTCATAGCGAACTTGGGCATTTTTTAACTAGTGCATCTCCTTTATAGTTTCAGGTGATARTAATTGTTTGATATGTCTCTTTGATCTCTTCGACATGACACCACCACACACCAAATTCTATCTTACTGGATAAGTATCCATAGTAACCGTTGTATTATTTTTCTTATTTTTTTCAGTAATGGAAAAGTGTGAACGCTTTCCGAAACGGAAATTAGTTTCTATCACCTTTTCCAGTTCGCCATGCGCAGTGAAGACAATTTTTCAAATTATAATTAGTGTTTACTCCGAACTTTGAATGTCTGTAATTTTCACTATTAATCATATTTTCTTGGAGATTTTTTGGTTAATGAGAAGATTTTATCGACTTAAATTGACTGCAAAAGTACTAGCAGGTTAATCTGAAAAAGAAACTCACTATTTTACGATCAAAACATGTGTCAATACCCCGGTCAATACGCCCAGTTTTTATGGAAATTTATTCTGACATAAGCTTTTTAATGACCTGTCAATGCTTTAAGATGATTGTACAACATAAGGTCTCGCTCTTTTGTGGTCGAACCCTCAAGTTCGCCTCTGCGTTCGCGAAATCGTTCTCGCTTGATTATTTTGCTTTGAACCATTGYTCCTGTACGTTTTTGGTCCATATATTATTGTTAACCCCAAGGGACTAACTACGGTCACTGCCGTAACGAAGAATCATATCATACCTGACAAAGCTGTCGTGTGAAGTACCTAACCTTGCAATTTGCATTGCCTTTCAAAATATGCCTTTTAAAGGAGGAAGGAAAAAGGTAAGACTAGTTATTCGCATGACTAATTCAAAACTTAAAATTCTTGGAATTCACGGCAAAAAAAAACAAAACAAAAAACCATACCTGACAAAGCTGTCGTGTGAAGTACCTAACCTTGCAATTTGCATTGCCTTTCAAAATATGCCTTTTAAAGGAGGAAGGAAAAAGGTAAGACTAGTTATTCGCATGACTAGTTCAAAACTTACAATTCTTGGCAAAAAAAATTCACGGCAAATTCACGGCAAAAAAAAAAAAAAAAAAAACACGTGGAAACAATGCTCACAGTAACCTGAAGCAGGTTGTTTATAATCGACTGTTCCTTTCAAATCTCTTCAGTTTTTCGTCCTTGTTGCTAGTACAAAGCGCCGATTTTGGACTTAATTTGGGTGATTAAATCACCCAAAACCGCTCGCCAACAGCAATGAACCGCAACGAAGAAAACGGGAAAAACGAGGAATAGATATAATAGTGTCATACTAGGGACTAGACTGGGACCATTTACAATAAACAATGAATCATATTGCCATTATGGTAGACTTTTATGCCAGAAAAATTACTGGAAAATATATCGATTGATGTAGATCAAAAAACTGAAACAAAAGATTTCTGCTAGTAGAGTTTATCACATTATCAGAATAAAATCGAAGATGGCGCGACGTTTGTGAAACGGCGATAAATTTATAACTTTCTTGCCTTCAAATCTTCGTAATTTTCGATAAAGGTATAGTTTGATAGGCTATATTTATTGTTAAAAATGATTATAAACGTACATAGGAGTTAAACAGGACTTTTTGTTACATACGTTTTGATCATGTAATTTTAACTTTTTCTTCTACGGTGCCTATCTGCTAAGCAAGTTGCGGTTTCAACGCAAAGGTGACTTGAAGTCTGATAGCTGTCTCCTTATCTACAACAATGGAGCAGCTCATAAGCTACACATGTATTTTACAATACAGCATTGAAATATAAAGAAGTGCTTGTATTGTGAACCCAGGTCACTGTAAAATTTATAGGAATTGTGTTTGCATGTGTATATCAATTTCCATCTGTTTTCAGGACTGCACTGTTAGAATTAAGAAATTTTTCAGTTTTTATAAATGACTGTTTCAGTCATCTTTTTATTGATTGTCAAATAACAAAGAGTCACTAATTTTGCTTTTACGGATTTTATGACTTGTAATATGAGATATGCTTTTTCCTTAAATAAATACATCGAAAACGGAGATTAGCTCCTACTCTCGATAAACTATCAATCAAAAACCGGAAAACTGTCCTGCTCGAAACCTGTATAAAACAGGTTTGGAAATTTAGAATGACGTAATGTATAAGTGTATGCTGGGAATTCCCCATCATAGGTTGCGATCAAAACAAGCGAAAGTAAATACGAAAATATCGCATGTGGTCGAAAATGAGACAAAAACTGAGCCTGTGCTGTAGCACGAACAAAAACCGCACCCACCTCAGTGTGCTGCCACTAAAATTAAATTGAAAACTGCATCGTACCGGAACAAGACTTGGATCAGCAACGACAGTTTTATTACACAATGTGGAACTAATAAATGAATAAGTTAGGTTATTTCTACTTTTTTTAGTACGGCGTGCATGGACTATAAGAAATAGAGCACTCTTCACTAACCAATCAGAAGATAGATCATGTTTCTGATGTACTATATTTTTGGTCCCCGTAATTAACTTGTAGGGTTTTTAATGATTCTTTTTCCTCATAATTAAAGTAATAAGCTTTTACATACAGACCCGGCGTTTTTCATAACCCGAAGTGACTAGACCGCAATCAGCGCATTCTGAAACTCAAACTTACTCCGGTTCAGACTGTTGGTCAGRTGACCGGGGCGTTCTTTGGCCCCCCTCTTATTAGACTGGGTCATTATTTAGCAAACACGTTTAACAAATTCGCCATAAAATGCAAACAAATGAACAAAGAAGGCGGAAGTTACAACCCGACCGCTATCTCTCCTTTCGTTCTTTCTTCCTCTTTTCTACTTCGATTCCCTTCTTCGACTTTCACACCTCSCCGAATGCTTTTTTATTTCTTTTATTAACACAAACTAACACCACAATTCTAAAAACATAACCTGAATAATTTGAATAAAAGSCTGAAAAAACATCGAACAAAAGAGAAAAATAAGCGTGACAAGTCTTATGAAGATTGCGTGAAGTCACGTGCCCAACGTTGAGCGACTTTACGTTTCGGCTGTCAACGCAGGGAGTAGCTTGTCTGTCTTTTTGAAGGATAAATATATAGATTCTGTACATTTTACCTCAAAATGTGAGTGTTTAATCTCACAGCTGTCTTATGGCAGTTAGCAAAGGACTAAACAATACTTCAAGTCGGTCKAAAGCTTCASAAATTTGGCTTCTGTAGCTCTATTTTGCAAAAGGTCCCAAACTCACATGGCTGGACCAAGTCCATTGRCGGTAAGGYTTCCTTATTCTGGTTGTTAAAACTATGATATACAAGTTACAGTGCGTTCTTCTTGACATAAATTATACGTTTTCATAGAGATTGCAAAGATTTTGCTAAAAAAGTGGAACGTGGTCATTTGTTGACATAAGCGAACTGTGTTGTGCTAAGAATCTCGTTATTGTCATAAGGAATTTGCAAATTTGCATGCGGTCTTATCTAAAAGAGCAATACATAAGTGATATTCTCTGTARATAATTGACTTAACTAGTACATTTTGAAGCCCGGCATATGTTTGGACATGACTTGAGCCTTAAATAAGCTTACAAATGTAGTCTGCGTTCACCATTTTTCAAAGAGTGATAAGCCTATTCCTGGAATACCACCAGAGAATCTTTTGTTGTTGTCTATTGTTATATGATATTTTGGAGTATAATGACCACTTCTTACTCGCTGGAACGACACACATACATTTATTTTAAGGTATATAACTTGAACTTAAGTGACTTTGAGTCAGACAAAGATAATATCTCTATTTTGCTCGAAGTGTTTTCCCCAAAATATAGTAGTTTTCGTCCCTCAATCAAGGACTATAGCTCGCAAAATATAGAGGTCGAGAGTGTTCAAGTGATGTTACTGACAATAACACCTTGAAGGATCCCTATCCCTAATCCTCCCAAAAAGGACAGTTTTGATCTCTAGGCTAAAGTAGAAAAATTCTGATCCTTTATTTGCACTTCATTGATCACTAATCTGCTTTGCTAAATATTGATGCGAAATGTTGATCCCTTACATTACCCGATCCGGTTAGACTACAGAATTCAGGGCCAATTTTAACAATATTTCTCGAGCACTGGCTCGGCGGCTCAGCAGTCAAATGAATAAATTATAAAGTACCACTGCTGAGCTGGCGAGCCACTAAATAAAATACTGCTAGACACATTATGAATTCATTTCTCATTCTTTATAAGTCCCACTGCCGAGCTGGCGAGCCACTAAATAAAATACTGCTAGACACATTGTGAATACATTTTCTCGCTCTTATAAGTCCCACTGCTGAGCCGGCGAGCCACCAAGCCACTAAATAAAATACTGCTAGAGACATTATGAATTCCGAAAAGTTGCTGTCAACAGTTAAAACTGATTGAAAATCACTGCTGAGCCGACGAGCCAAATAGATTAAAAGCCACTCCAATTTGGGCCCTGTATTCTGTAGTCGCTCCCCTGATCCAAGAACAATAAACTCTTATCCCATTTCTTGGATAGCGATACTGATCCATTCAAGGCAGGTGATCTCTGATCACTAAATAACACTGATCCAAGATCCCATTATACTTTGTTACTACCTTTAACTACCCTAAATGTGTCCTAAATATCTTTTCCTGGCCAACAAACAGGAATTCAAGTGGCCACCCTTGGATCCTAAAAGAACATGCGAATGGTGCTCCGCAACTTGGATCAAGGAGCATTTCAAACAACTTGGCAAGTTGTCATGGAAACGTTGGCCAGGTGATTTGCTCCTTGATCTCCAGTACTGTGCTGATTGTGTCACCGAGTACCATCACATCAGGGAGGATTTTCTGGAACAAAATCCAGGAAGAAAGAAGGTACAGTTATCTATATATAATAATGATGACGATGAATAATCATTGGAGTGGTATAATATTCTAAAACATAGAAGTTGAGAAGGAGTGACTGTAAATTGCTTAAATCTTTTTTAACTATTCTTTTCTCAGGACCTGTGGTCTAGTGATGTTCAACGCTTGTCAGTATTTATCAAGCAGGCACTGAGTAACATGGCTGCAAAACCTTGTACAACTCTTGAGGTAGGGGTATATTGCATATTTGTTTGTTCCTTGTGTTAACTTGTAGAACTTCATAATATATATTAATCTTCAGATTCTCAACCTTAATTTACTTAATTGGTCTGGTGCCCCTTGAATTTATCCAGTTTTTTAAAAAATCTGCACAGTGTGTAATGAAGTTCCAAAAAATACATTATAAACAAAATGTCAAAGAAAAATAGGCTATCTTCTGACTTATGTCTGCCATATTAATTTGCTATCTATTGATGTTTAAACTTGATTACAAGTACCACTTTCCGTTGCTCTAAATATTCATTTATTTTTCTTTTTTGTTAGATGCTGGATAAGTTAGAAAATAATTCTCAACACTTTGAAAGTGATGATTTAAAGCAAGCCTTGGAYGTTCCTATATTGGAGATACTCCTGTATCCTGAACTCTTGTTTGATGGGTCTCTCAGCRCATTATTTCAAACTGCATTGGAAACTTTGATTGACAATAATTCTCCACCAATAGTTATCCAAAGACATCCTGGCGTTAATATACTCTTGATTCATCCCTCTAAAAAGGTATTTTTATTTGGAGATTTTGTATTACTCATCTACTGGGCAAATAATTTAGTTTGAATTGTTTATTTCTAAATTATTTGATGTTTTGGAAAGGATGTTGTGACTTTCTATACTCAGGTCCAGTGACMACAAACAAAACATTGTACTGAGGYTKCAAGGAAGAGAGAATACAGGAAATATCTAAGATCTTTTCTTTCATGTTCACTTACCTCTGTCAATACTTTGTTGCAGTCACTGAACCTGAGTATGCAATATTCTGAATGWAGTCTTATTCTTGWAAATATGTACAGTGTGGTGACTTTCTTTGCTAATTTGCCAGAAAGTTTGTTTTATACTTTGTTTATTTATTCATCATAGATTCGTAARTGGGCTGAGAAAACTGTCAGAAGGAAAAAGCTTAGCTTAGCAGATTATGACAATTGTGAATGGTCTTTTGAAAAAATCATAGAAGTCTCTACACTCAACCTATTTGACTTCATGCCTGAAAGCCACAGTGATTTTTCAGATGGTGTTCTCCCAAGTCATTTGTGGTCACCAAATCCTTCAGTTTACTGGAATGGATTCCTTAAACTTCTCCTTAGCATGGACCAAGAGGTTATTAACTTGAAGATGATGAGGGTATCTGAACACAAACAGATTCCAGACACTYTKATWAAYACYATGGAAGGCAACCATGGCAATGGTATGTGTATAGTAGTTACAGTAGAAACTCACCATAGATGAACATGCAGAGACTAACAGATGTTAGTATAAACATACTTATGGTCTATCACTCATACTGCGCTGTGATTGGCTACTCTACTAATGGTCTAATTTGTGATAGRCCACTCGCGGGAAAATCAAAATGGCATCATCTCATTAATAAATTATTTTAAGGATATTTCAATKTGTTTTCATTATTTGACCGATTAGTAYGTTTATACTAAAACAATTAGACCTCKMGGYCKMGTGGACTAMGAGCTAATAGCCCATTCGGCCTCGCAGACTCGGCCTCATRGGCYATTAGCTYGTAGTCCACTCGACCTCGAGGTCTAATTGTTAAATAGAAGGAAKGAAAAGAATGGAAAAATGAATGGAATTACATAATTTCTTCCTTTCAGCAATTCTTCTTTACTTTCATTTTTTCCTTCCCATTGTCCTTCTTTCCAGCCTTCCTACTGCACATTCCTATTTTTCTTTCTTTTACTGCTCCCTTTCTTTTATTCATCTCTCTTGATTCCTTGTTCCATTTTTGTTCTTCTGTWTGAAATCTTTCTTTCTTTCCAACATTTTTTCCATCTGGTTTCCTTTTACTATCAACCTTCCTTCCCTCCTTTCCCGCYATCTCCCCTTCAACCCTGATTTACTTGTGTGTCCATTGAAATTACTCAAATATYCACTCTTTTCACCCTTTAGTTCTTTATATATTCATGATTGTTAAATTCTCTCTTTTTTCCCAGAAAAAGCTGTATTCTGGACAACTTTCAATTGCCTAGTRATACTTATAGAAAGCTGCTCCTCAAGGTTTTGGCCAATGATGTCACACTCTCCCTATGTTGTCCTGAACCTAATAAAGAACCACTCTGTGTATTCAAGGGCATTGAGACATCATTTGCAGAATTATGACTCTCAGCAATCTTTTCAGGTAAAATAGTATAATACACTAGTGTCTTGTTGGCTTCTTCTGTTTGAAGGATTCAGCAAACTCATGCTGCATCAATCTCTCCTTCTTGTCAACCTCCTCTAAGTGCCTAGAAAACGTTTGTTAATTTAGCCCTCAAACTAGCTTTAAGTAAACAGTTGACTCTAAATATCTGACTCAAGGTCCCTTTTTGGAATCATTTTTAATGAAAAAGTATCCACAATAAAGATTATTATTATTATTATTATTATTATTACCATAATTTACCTATTTCTGCTATACAAAAAACTGTAAATTGTAATTTCGAGCTTCCAACATACAGTAAATGAAAGTTAATGTTGCCTACCTCTCCCCCACCCCCTCAAGAGCATATGGTTACTTGTAGGTGCAAGTCTGATACAAATTGAATAATATTAGCCCCAATGTTAAACTGTTATTTTATTACCTCTTAGGACTTTGACCTTGGAAGCCAAGAGTTTCCTTACGATTCTCTACCAAGATTAGCTCTTACTTGGTTTGAGACGTTTGTTGTTTCAGTGCTTGATTTTGGAGATGTTGCTTTAAAATGTGTTTCAGCTGTCATTAAAATTTTACAAGAATACTCAGGTAATGGYRGCAGCAATTTTAGTGAAACTTCTCTATTATGGACACTGGAAGATAAAAAGTGTTCGTAATATGGATATTTATTCAGCCGTAATATTGAGTTTTCTTCATAAATAATTTTGATTTTGGTTCAATTAAATTACTTTACTAAAATAAGAATTAAGATTATAGAGGTGTCCTTATTGAGAGGTTTCACAAAATAAATATTATTTTATTGATAAATAACAGATTATATTGTAAACAACATGAACAGTAACAATATGAGCAGCAACAAAAGCAGATTCACAAATAACAATTCAGAAAAAGTAGTACCAACAACAGCAGTAACAAAAACAACAACAACAACGGGAATAACTACATCAACAACAGCAACAACGCATAACAACAACAGCAGCAATAACTACATCAATGAAAATAACAACGGCATGAACAAAGCAGCAAACCTAACAACACAACAACAGCACTAGCAATTACTACATCAACAACCACAACAGCAACAATGCTAAAAACAAAAACAACATTAAAAAGAAGCAATCGTTAATGAGACTTATTAAATGAGAGAAATTTGGATGAAAGAAAATACTATAATTAAATTGATAAAAGAATGAATTTTGATATATGAAAAAATAAAGGAATGATATAATTGACAGTGACTTGAAATATTGCTCTAAGTGCAGACGTTTATCTTTATTAAMGATCTAAAATGAATAAGCTTGTAAGAATAATCCAACTTGCTTCCTTCCTACTAAAAGCATGGTACGTCACATATCTATCAAAACAACTAAATATGCTTTTAAAGTATTATCATGTTTAAATATAATGTTTTCCCATTTGTCTTTTTGAGCATTCAATACTCATTTCAATTTAACTAGATATTTTGATCATTTAAAAATGATTTAACAATAAAATTCTGCGATTAAACTTCACGATTTAAAAAATACGATAACAACGTTTCGACGTTTTCTAATTTTAATTTTATAAATAATTTGTTATCGTAGAAATTTATTGTTGAATGTATGTCAAAAATAATTGAAATCATTTTAAAAAGACCTGTAAGTTAAAAAATCCTCTGTATTAATTGATAAGCTATTTCATAAACAAGTAACATATAGMAAGGAATCGTATGAAAATATACAAAGTATAATATATGAAAACTCTACTCGAAATATCAATRATATTCCTGTTACGCAAATGGCAAGTGTAAAAAAACTGAATAAGCATTTGATCTTTAAGAAAAAATCCAGGAAACGTTTTAATACATGCTCCTCTTTTGAAACGTTTTAAAGCCGTCCAATTCTTAACTTCGTTTTCTTGAATAAAGACTTAAAGTCTTAGGCCCCATCTGTCTGCAGTCAATAAAAGCGTTCTAAGGGCGTAGCCCAATTCACACCACTGTTTGACTAAGAGTAGGGCCTGGAATTACCGGCCTGGTGGTGTACATGTATCGATTCCAGGGACACCATTGGGAAAAAAGGTTTCAGAATTGGTGTACCCTGAGTAAATAAAGGTTTTCTGTTATTCTGCTCATAATKTATTATGAATATATAGTCACTTGTTATAATCACTAACTGTAGCTAACACACACCCCTGCTTTAATTCGTTAAGGTAACAAAGATGTAAAAATCAAGATTGCTCGTATCTTATCAAGAGTTATACACAGTAACAGACTATCATCACTCGTGAACACTGTCCAGCTTTGGCTCCCTCACTTGTTAGAATTAGCCAAACAATTTGACGATACTAATAAGGTAACACGCTTTAGTCTCTATACATGACATGAAATCCTATAGGTTGCATAAGTGATTTAAGTGACTTGAACTCTAGCCCCGCTACATCTGTGGAGCAGGTTCCTAGCCCATCGTTAAGCGTGGGTCATTTCGAGTTTGAGTTGAGTTTGAGTTGAGTTGAAGTCAAGTTTGACTCGAGCTTGAGTCGAGTTTGAGTAGAGTTGATACGTTGTCGCTCCTCATGGCTTGCCACTAGAAAGAAGTGAATATATCTACCCTTTAGTCCATCCCGCAATATGGTAAAACTGACGACAAAAATGTTTATCGTAACAACAGCTGTTGTTGTAGAAGGAAGGTAAAAGTGGTCCTTTTTGAGCCTCTTGAAATGTTCAATTTGCCATCGTTTTAGCCTTCTAACGTCGTAGAAATGTCGCACAAATTAAATTGTTCGTGGCATCRAAACCAAGTGATAATTAGTTTTACAGCCATGATCAACTGRCATCCTTTACGAGGTTTTGTTTGTATACATAGTAATATGTGCAAAGTCTTACTCTTTTTATCTCTTACACCTTATATTCCACATTTGTATAATCTAAAACACGACCGCATTGAATGCCGGTTAATCATGACCCTTTAAAGCTGTTAAAACTATCATTTGATAGCATCGTGTATATGGTTTCATTTATAGATGCGATCAGAAACTTTGCTTGCAAGAGAGTCTATTATTTTATTGCTGAAGAGAGATAAAGTGACAATGAAGTTTGACGACTTCGCAAACCTTACCGAAGAAAAGATTCAAGATATTATCAAATCCATAGAACAAATAATAAAGGTAGGAATTACCTCTGTAAACCGATCAATGTTTATTAGCATACAGCATAACCCCCTCCCCCCTCTCTTCCCCATATATCGATATAATGCGCAGAATTTTTTGGTGTTAATAGAGTATATGATCGTACCGGTGTGAGAAGTCTTGATGAAGACTGTTACAGTTACTTGACGTTTCGACATTCTGCTCAATTCACTTCAATCAAATAGTGCTAAATTGTACTGAATTAAGCGAATTCCTTTGCTTTCTATTGTCTAATCTACACTATATTGCGTTATTTAGCAGCTCATTTGGTAATTTTCAACGCTTTTAGCGTTTGCATTCTATGATTTTTAATATGAACTTACTGAAATCATTTTGTGATGTCTAGCAAAGTCCACTCAAGGAAGCACCGAAATTCAAACCCAACTGTGCCAGRAAGTCTATGAGTGGGATTAAAATCAAGAAAGAAAAAGACAAAATGGATTCTTCCACTACAAATGACCAGCCAACGTCGGTATTCAGAGAATCCAGGATTTCTGAATGTAACATCAAAAAGGAAAAAGGCGATGACAGCTCTACTGCAAAATTCCAAATCAAGACCAAGGAACGTAGAATTGCTGAGTGCGATGTCAAGAAGGAAAACGTTCCTACYGCGACTTATCTAAACGTCAAAAGAAAAACTAAGTCACCAACAATCACTCGGCCGAAACTTCTAAGTCCAGTATTGAAGCTTGAGGACTGCCAAAAAGCAGGCTTTAACTGTTCCAAAGCATCCTGTGAAACAGGTAAAGATAATTAAAAGCACTTTTACAAAAAGCAACAAACAAAAAACAGTCGATCGCGCGCATTTTTTAGTCAACCAAACGCGCGTCAACTTTTAATTTTGCAATGACTTACATGCGCGCGCAAATTGTATCATTCGGGTTTCCTGTGGATGAGGTGCGCAYGCGTGTGAATGAAGTCGTTAGGTTGCGCGCGCATTTCTCAAATTACGCTGCCCGCATTAGTGACGTAACAATAGCAGAGCTTGAACTTTCTGGAACTTCCTTGCGCTGTGTGGACGCTGCTGAAAAATGTCTAAGAAGAAACTGTTTGCTGGGTTTAATTCAAAAGCTTTCAATTGTACGTAAGCGCGTGTGTAGCGGGTTTTTTAATACCTATTTTGTGCCTAGTTTCTAGTTTTTTATGAGTTAGGATAGTTCAAATTTGTCGGTCTTTGGGTCGGAGGACACTTTATTAGCAGGAATCTTAGGTGTGGAGTAGCGTTCTTTTAGCCAGMAAATTATGTCATCATTGTATTCAAAGCAGTCGATCTCTCCAAAAGAAGTCAACTTATTTATATTTTGTTTTCTACACAGGTACAACGAAAGATTGTGCTATCAATCTCGACAGCGATGACGATGACCGACCACTAGGGAAGAACGCAAGCACTAGCTCTTGTTCAAGTCCAGGTTCCTCCAAGAGGCCACTAAGTGACAGTGACTCAGATGATACTTTATATCGGCCGAGGAAAAGTAAACCAAAGAAAAAGAAACCTGTTATCGTTTCTGATAGCGATGATGACACAGACGACTCGGGTCGTCTAAGCGACGACGTCTTTTTGACTAAAAAACCTGGAAAAATCGAAGACCATCAAAGCGACGAAGATTTTTGGGGTGACGAATCAGTTAGACCATACGATTGCGGGGCGATTGACGAATCAGTTAGACCATACGATTGCGGGGCACAAACCYCAAGTACCACTCTAGGTTCTAGAACGAACATTCTCMAAGCATCCTTACCAAATAATAACAGTGTTAGCTCTAGGAGTTTTGAAGAATCTAGCCTTAGTGATTATAAAGCGTTGTCATTCAGCATAACAGAAGAGAATGATCAGTTTTATGAACTTAAAGATCAAAACTATGATCCAGCAAAGAGCAAGGACAAAGAACAGAGGATTGATGAACAGTCTAATGGCTCAAAGGCTTTGCGAAATCAACTTGAGACTGAAGCGGACCTGACAATAAAGTGGGAGCCTGGTGATGAACTCTTGAATGTCACTAACTACAGTTTGAATGATAATATATCATTCCCGGCACAGTCGGAACAAGAAATAAAAAAAGAGCCCAATGATGAACTCTTTAACATTAATTCTATCTCGCCCAGTGACCTGGGAAACTTGGAACAGACCATAAAACAAGAGCCCAATGATGAACTCTTAAACGTTAATTATTCTATCATGCCCAGTGACCTTGGAAACCTGGAACAGGCCATAAAACGAGAGCCCAATGATGACCTCTGCACTAATGATGACTGCGTACAGAACGATAATATATCCAACGTTTCCAATAACGTTGAAGTCCGTGAACAAGTAATCCAGAGCACAGAGCCGATAAAACAAGAGCCGAATGACGAACAATTTCGTATTCAATATACAGATTCTGAAGGCGCTTTCATCATTGACGAGATTGGTAAAATCACKAGAGGAATGGACACGGCCCTATCAGATGATAGTGATGTATTTGAACATGATGACGAATACAGAAATGTGGAACATTACATTCCCTCTGAGGAAATTGGTGTGGATTATTTTGATGGCAACCTCATTAGACCCGAGAGTGAATCTAGAGAAAGGAGGTGGAGCGGCAGTTCAGGTCCCCAAGACATGGAACTAGAATATTCACAAGGAGAGTTGCTCGACGATTATGGTGTTGATTGCTATAATAACTCACCTCGAAGTCTTCTTCAACCAGAAGCCACTGATCAGGGTAGTCATGGTTATCAACARCAAAGTAACTTTTCTATCATTGAAGAAGAAAATAAGTCGGGCGAAGATGAATCTGATGATGAAGACATAGTGGAAATCTTTTTTAAACCTCCATCTGCTGTCAAAGTCAAGGTTGAGAAGCCAGACGATATTTCTGATGAATCAGAAAATATTGAACCTTCAGTTCCAGAAAGTCCTCCCCAATCAACAGCGCAACCGTTGTCCTCCTGCTCGGCCGTTGCCTCTGCTTCGTCTGCCCCTTCCCGCACTTTTACAACCGCAAAGTCCCTCTTCAGTGCACCTCCAGCTGAGATCAATTGTGATAAGATTAAASTCAGTGAGGGCCGGTTAATGAAACATATCCTATCCTGGAAAGTTKGTTGGTTAGAATCTAATGACAGAGCAGAGATTGCTGTGTATAAAGTGGTGGAGAAGACCGAGAGGTTGCCAAAGACTTTCGACACGATGTATAACTACTGTGAATCATTTGTSAAACTAATGGTGATCGAAGCATTCGAGCAGGTTAGATATGGATGCACCAATCAGAGGCATCGTTATTTATTATGATGGTTTTAACGCGTGCTGTGATTGGCTGAAGGGCGTTCTTCAGAGGAGGGTGCACCAATCCCAATTTGCACACAGCACGCTCGCTGTGATTGTCTTGGGAATGCTTCACGGCAGTCGTTATATAGCACCGCACTCTAACTAATTTCTCAATAAAGCACTTATTTAACAAGAATATCAACCCTTAATGATTTTAAAAAATTATTTTAAAAAATATTTTAACTCTTTTTAAAGAGTTAACAGTACTTGTAATGGTAAGAATGAGCTGAGGCAGGATAGCATACTAACATACTAATATATGTAATCATTATCTAATTTTCGTTATCCAGACTGCATACAGATCAGTACGACCAACTCCTCGTGACCGAGGATTRTAGGTCGGAGCGGTCACGCCCTAGTCGAGCCCTGTCAACACCGACGGGAGCTCCGTGCCCTTCATACGTAGCTCTTAAAACACATTATTTTACGCCATTCCACGTTTCCCCTTAACTTTTACATAATTATCATCATTTCATAAAAAAATAATAAAAAATATAAAGCTTAAGTCATGATATTATGCGTACGCAAGTGTAAATACGCAAAATAAAAAAGTAACAGATAAAAAATAAAATAGAGTGAAATAGAAATAAATAGAAAAGCTATAAAGAACGAGATAGATATCGTTAGAAACAATTTATCCCACCACCAACCATGAAAAGTACATCTAAATTATATATTTCATATACTTTCCAAGGCATTCCCAGTAAACAATAATTGATACTCGGCAAGAAACTGTCCTCCGTAGGTTTTATAAGATATCCACCATCTTATGACGTGTGGCAATACCATGATGCATTTTGACGTCATAAACGACGTGATATATGACGTATACATATATGACGTCATAAAAGGAAACGACCATCGACTGATGAAAGAAACGATTGATTGATATAGGCTAAAAAAGACTGGCGAGATCCTCGAGTCAAGAGATTTACCACTATGCCTGTCATCACATCCATCAGCCCTGATAAAAGTTCCAAAATCATACGATGTGTGATCAATGATGTCCCTCAGACCGAAATCACAGAAAGGGATTTASTTATCGTAAGAGGTGATAATTTCGCCGAATTTGGATTGGTCGAAAAGGTAGATCAAGAAAGAGTCCACCGGCGATTGTCTTCTGGCAGTGATACGATGGGTAGGTATCCCATAATTACTTCAAATGGAACACTTGATTAGTGGAAGTAAAGCCTGGTTTACACAAGCGACGCAAGAGCAAGCACAAAAGCAAGAGGTCTTATTTCGTGGAAAAAAGCGCCTATCGCACAGGAAAAGCAAGCACAAGATGCCAAAATGTTTCCTTTTTTCTTGCGYTYGCTCTTGTACTTTCACTTTATTTCTTGCTAATGAAAACGAAACTCAACGCAAGATCAACTTCTTGCGATTTCTTCTGCGCTTGTTCTCGCCTCGCTTGTGAACATCAGGCTCAATCAATAGAAGTGGTAGAACAACAAAAATTTTTAACTAACATGGAAACGTGTTCTATTATTCCTTTACCGTTATGATCCGAACTGCAAGAARCAATTTCTGACGGAGATCGGAGTTTCCCATTAAATAGTGGTGGATAACCTGGTGCTTTGACGAGGTTTCTGTCAGGGTTCTCCACCACTTTAAACTCTACCGAAATACAGCTGATACAACAGACTAKAGAACCCAGATAGCTAGTTCTCTTGTTCTGATATAATAATATTCCTGGGAACKAGCCAGTGATTGTTTTTGTAGAGTTCACCCCATCCTTGAACTGCAACCTTCCCTAACATTGATTCGCCCCTGTAAAGCAGTTGAGTTGAGTTTATCAAGTGCTGATGTTGATGCTGACGATTGTTTTTTTTTTATGACATTGATAGCGAAAACTATTTCAATGGTCTAGACTGAGCATTTTCCTTATATTTAGATTCCTGTTCTGATCGAACCTACAACGTCACRTATGAAATTCGAACGACTCCTGCAGTCAATTCCTCTGAAGGCAAAGGTATCGAGCTGCAGCTCGTAACATCACTCTTRACAACATTCCGTCAACTGTCAGGGCTGATGAGCTTCAGCCGACAATCTCTTCTGTCTAAGGATATACTTCGTCCAAGAGGGATGAAGTAYTTTTGTTCAGAAGAGAGGCCCGTAGAAGTTAATGCGAATGAGGTAAAGTATAAAGGGYTGTCTCTCCCCCATCCTACGTCATGCCTTTTCTTTCTTGACTTTTATYWTATTTTCTCTTTCTCTTCGTCGATCCCACTTTCCACRTCTCCCTGATCCTTCTTTTTTCCTTCRCCTCCAACATCTTTCCTTTTCCTTCCTMCTTTTAWTTRCTTTMTTTTCTYATTTTGTTTCTGYCCCTTTTTCMCTCCCCTTTCAACATCTTCAATKCTTCCTCCTTCCTTCATTCYTTATTCGTTTKCTTTTCTTCTCTTTTTTGTTTCCTCCTAATGTCATYCCACTCCGTCTTCTTCCTCCCCTTTTCAAACTTMTTCACGATTCTCATCTTTCCTATCCCTTCTATTTYCTTTATTATCGTCCTTCSGCAYGGTGCTCTTCTTCCTCCCTCCCTGTCTTTCATTCGCTTTCCTCCATTCTTCCTTCTCTTTCCCTCTTATTCCCATATCTTTATTTCTTCTTCTTACTTCCTCCTTCTCGACCTCCRTTATCCTCCTTCATTTGTGTCCTTTCCCTTCCTCTTCTCTTGTCTCTTCCTCCTTTTTATGAATAACCAAACAATAATAACCGCATGTTCTTTTCTTAGCATTACAACAAGTCTCAGGTTCGAGTGATTGAGACTGCTGCCGAAGCCGTCAAGCATCCCYTAGCGATTCCGAGAATTTGTTTGGTTCAGGGACCTCCTGGAACTGGAAAGTCACACGCCATAGTTGGCATGGTAACGCGGATTTTGAACGTGAGTGTCACGTGATMGATCATGTGATCAGATAAAACTTTTGTTCGATCACACAWTATCGTCTTCCATTCCTTCATTTATTCCTGTCTTTGCTATTTCGCTCATTAATTTTCTCTAAACGATTTCAGCAAGAATGTGGTGATTCAAATCAGAGCCTAACATCACAGATCTTCCCCTCCCACCCTAGAGTTTTGCTGTGCTGTCCTTCAAATGAGGGGGTTGACGAGTTAGTACGTAAACTGATGCGAGCCAAGCCAAAAATGACTCGTCCAAGAACAAAAAACGGACGAAAAGGTGTGACTAATCTCAGTAATTTACGCCCATCCTGCTTCACGTAATTAGGAACAAAAAATTTTGTTCTCTTTTTAGCCTCGGCTCATAAAAACTGTGGTGATTTCTCACTTGTTCGCGTTGGTCGGAAGTCCAAGATTCATGAAACCGTCAAAGAAGTGACTCTAGAGAGTATGATCCAGCGAGCGATGGTAAAGGAAGGTTTTGGAGAACTTGAATCCACTGCTCCGTTAAGGAACAAAATCCATCAGATCGAAAAGAAAATAGACGAAATCCAAAAARAGAAATATGTTCTTAAAGAAGTTGACAGCATTAAACAGAATTTATTGGTAAGCTACTCTTAACACACCATAGAATCCATATATGTTTTGAAAATTGACCATGAAAAAGTGCGCAAAAAAGTATATCATATTGTCTATATGACAGTTTCATGTACTTTTGTGCAGTGATGCMATTTTGTGCAGCAAAGAATGATGCTAGTTGTAGTCCTTAAACTTATTATAGGAGCCACTTACTCAAGGAGCCACTTATACACCTTCTTTGTAGAAACGGTACAACTACTATTATTCACTGGAAAAAATCGCGCACTTTAAAGGGTTGTAAATTTGATGTAAATATGATGTAAGTGTCCAAAATTCTGTAAATTCAATTAAAGCGCGCGATTTTTTCCAGTGATTGTTGCTTAGAAAAGCAAAATCTGCTTATGAGGACTGTTGTAGCGGGCATGAAAAACATCGAGGACTACAACTACCACCATGCTTTGCATCTCATACTGGCGCCGGTGCACATTGACTATCAACCATAACAAGTTCGTATTTCAATACTGTCTGTTTTATTAATTAGAAAGAGCAGYTGGAAATACAGGAAAAGAATTACGAAACTAAGCGACAGGAACTTAAACGAGAATACCTGAAAAAGAAAGACCTGGCAAAGCGTTCAGGACGTATGGAGGCGCATATTAAAAGAGACATTCTCAATGGCGCAGATATAGTCTGTACAACCCTTAGTGGTAGTGGGAGTACTACCCTTTTGAACGAACTCAGAGGATCAAAAGCGTGAGCATTCTGAATATAGAAATTGAAGAATTTTCGAAAATGACATTTAGTCTGAAACCAATGGAAAGTCGATAATGGGCCTGTTCCGGCTCCCTCCTCACCAATCCCTCCCCCCTCTTCCCCAAAAAATTACCTATAAGAGAGCCAGCCATGTAGGCTAACAAATATGAGTGACGATGGGTAAATTTTCAAGTATATTGTCTAATTTCTCTTCKATTTGTTTTACTTTTTAGGACGAAAATTCCATTTTCTTGCGTCATTGTTGATGAGGTTTGTGCTCAATCTCCTTCCCAAGAGCCTGCGTTGCTTTTGGCCTACGACAGAGAATTTCTTTGCAATCTCGTTGCCTGAGCGTTCGTTTTCTTGGACAGTGATTAAAACGTAACTGAGCTCATCGACTGCGCTGGCCAAGAAAAACGATGGCTCTGTTCTCTGACTTGTTCGTAGACCAAAAGTTAGTCGTGCTCGGGATACAAGATTGATTTACTTCAGTCGTTTAAATGCATTCTTTTATCTCAGGCCTGTCAGTGCACAGAATTGGACACTCTAATTCCGCTGCAATACAAGTCCTCTAAGCTCATTTTGGTTGGAGACCCCGAACAGCTTCCAGCAACGGTCATATCTAAAGTAAGCACAACTCAATACCCTTCCATTCCAAGGGATGAAGTCGGGTGAGGTGTGCATTGGATGAGACGCCTTTCGTCAGACACCATGCAAACATAGCATCCATCCCAAGGGGTGAAGTCAAGCAAGGGGGAGGTATTTCATAAGCCAACCTCCCTCAGGCACCGTGCAAACCATACATCCATTCAAAGGGGTGAAGTCAAGCAAGGGGGAGGTTGCATTTGATAAGCCAACCTCCCTCAGACACCATGCAAGCCATACATCCATTCAAAGGGGTGACTTTAGAGGGGGAGAATGCTTTGAATCCTCAAATCTTGCTCTTGTCACTACTCCATGTCATGTTCTTAAAATAATCTAAATGTTGCTGACTTAGTTTCTGAAAATTGAATCTGAAAATGGTTAGATCTTCACGTCTTCTCTTATAAGGATATTAAGCCGAAGATCCATCTCCGTCACRCGTCTTTCTAACCCAACATTCACAAGTCCATGAAGTCTGACCAATTTTATAAAATATTTTTTTAGGACGCCAAGAAGCTGTTGTACGGTAGATCGATGTTTGATCGTCTTTACAGATATTTTAAAGAACTGCCCCGTAAGTCTTATATCCTTATTTTGTAACGTTGATATTGTTGAGAATTTAAAAAACAAAAACATTCAGCCAACTAACTAACAACACAAGTAGTTTAGTAGATTTGTTTTATTAGAATCAACTTATAAATATGACTCACAGATTATGTAATTGGTAAAAATATAAAAAAAA